TCGGAAGCCTCTTCGAGGCGGTTTTTGGGGTGCCTTGGGCCCTCTCGGGGCCCGATTGGGGCGTCCGGGGGAATTCGGGGAGCCTCCAGGGCCTGCTGGAGCGCTGCGAAGACAAGACAACGAATGAGGCAGAACTGCACGTGTTCCCACGGATCTGCTGTGATCTTGGGCCTTTCGGGGCTGTCCTGAGGGGCCCTCGTGGATCTCTCTGGGGGGCGTCTTAGGGGGCACCTTCGGCCGTTGGGGCGGTCCTGGGCGCCTCGTCGGCGGTCTTTGGGCTCCGCTGGGCCGCGCAGGGGGCGTGGCCCGAGGTCCGCACCCCGGGAGCGCGCTCCTGCCTTCTGGGGCCTCTGGGGAGGAAAGAAAAAGAGGGGCCCCTCGAGACACGGGACCCCGCTGGCACGCAAGGAGCGCTGCATTGCAGAAGAGATGGCAGTGCCAGCTTCGTCTCGACCATCCCGCTGAGCAGCCACAGTGCCTGCTGCCACTGCCTGCTTTTCTCACACGCACTGATCCCTGCGCTGTAGCTGATGACAGTGGGCTCCAGCTTCGTCTCGACCATCCCGCTGAGCAGCGACAGGGCCTGCTGCCACTGCCTGCTTTTCTCACACGCGCTGATCCCAGCGTTGTAGCTGATGACAGTGGGCTCCAGCTTGGTCTTGACCATCTCGCTCAGCAGCGACAGGGCCTGCTGCCACTGCCTGCCTTTCTCACACGCGCTGATCCCAGCGTTGTAGTTGACGAGTGCGAACCCGTGGATTAAATCCGTGGCAGGCTGAACCTGGGACTCGCACACCGTGGGTAAACAGTTCGTCAAAGTTGAACAGCTCTGGTGTCCCTGGGGCCGTGTCGGGGGCTTGTTGGGCCCTCCTGCGAGCCTCCTCCGTGTCGGGGGAGCGACCACAAGTCTCCCCCCTGCCACCCCCAACAGGCGGAGTGGAGGCCCCAGAGCGGTCGGAGCCTCGATGAGGGAAGGAGGAAGATATCAGAGGAGAAGGTCCCCCCTGTCACCCCTAATCGGCCGCAGGGGGGGGAAGTCTTGAGAGCGACTCTGGGCCATCTGGGAGTGGCCCTGGGATCGCTCTTGGGAGCTCCGTAGGAACCATGGGAATCTCTTCCTGGGACCGCTCTTGGGAGCTCCGTGGGAACTGTCGGAATATCTTGGCAAGCGTCAGAGTCTTGTGGGCGACTCTGGGGCATCTCGGAGTGGCCCTGGAACCACTCTCGGGAGCTCTGGGGGGACAATCGGAGTCTATTGGGAGGCTCTGGGGCATCTCAGAGTGGTCTGGGGCCTGCCTTGAGAGTCTGGGGTTCGAGGCACTTGGGAGTCTTGGTGGCGCTTAGGGCTCGAGAGACGGCGAAAAGGCGCCGTGGCTCGAGGCGCTCTCCTTGGGAGCTCCTTGGGGACCATCGGGGTCTCTTGGAAGGCTCTGGGGCATGTGGGAGTGGTCCTTGAAGGGTTCTTGGCCCATTCGAGGCCGCGGGAAGGGCGTCGTCTGGGCTCCCGTCGGCCCCTCTTCGAGCCCTCGTGGCGGTCTCTCTGGAGCCCCCAGGGGCCCTCTTGGCCCATTTCGAAGCTTTCTTGGGCCGTCTCCGGGGGCCTATTGGGCCGTCCCTAGGGCTATGTAGGGGGTCTCGGACCGCCTTGGAGCTCGTCATAGTGCCTGTTGGGCAGCTCCTAGGGCCCTCTTGGGGCCGTCTTGGGGGCCACAAGGGGCTCTATGAGGCTGTCTTGGGCTTCTTCTGGGCAACCTTCGGGCCCTCTGGGGCCGTCTTGGGGCACTAGCCAGGGCCTCCTGGACCGTCTTGGGGCGATGGCCCTGGAGCCGTCTGAGGCCGTTCTTGACCCCAGATGGCGAAAGCATGGAACACGTTCCAAAGCCCACGGAAAACCTATCATTATGATTTGGGCATCGGGGACCGTCATCGGGGTCCAGTTCAGCCGTTTTCCGAAGCACGTGGCCCGTCGTCGGGCCGTCTTGGGCTGTTATTGGGCTCCGTTCGGGTCCTCTTGGGCCGTCCTCGCGCGCTCCGAGCGTCTCAGAGCTGTCTTGGGGCTGTCAGAGGCCGTCTTGGAGCCACCGAAGAGCTCTCTGGAGCCGTCGGAGAGCGTCGGGGCGCTTCGGGCGCTCGGGGCAGCTAGCGTACTGCTGGCGCATCTCGCACGCGCACCGCCCGGAATTGTAGTACAAGTGACGTCGGACTCCAGCTTCGCCTCCCGCATCTCGCTCAGCAGTGCCAACGCCCGCTGCCACTGCTCGCATTTCTCGCACGCGCTGATCCCAGCGCTGTAGCTGATGACGTCGGGCTCTAGTTTTACCTCCCAGATCTCGCTCAGCAGCGCCAGCGCCGGCTGCCACTGCTCACCCTTCTCGCACGCGCTGATCCCAGCGCTGTAGCTGACTAGTGTGAACCTGGGCCGTCCTGGGGCCGTCCTGGGGCGTCTTGGGACCGTCTGGGGGCCCTCCTGGCCCGTCTTGGGGCTCTCTTGGGGTCCTCTTCGGCCGTCTTGGAGCGGTCGGGGGGGCTTCTTGGGCCGTCTTGGAGCGTCGGGAAGCCGACGAGGCGAGGAGGCCGAAAACATAGAAAAACACAATAGAAATCAACGATTTCTGTCGCTCGGGGCCCTCTTGGGAGGCCTCTTGGGAGGCCTCTTCGGGCGTCTTGGACGCCTCTTGGGCTGCCTGGGGCGAATCTCGGGCGTCTTGGGCCCATCATTAAGCGTGCCGGGGCTCTCCGGGGCCGTCTTGGGGGCTTCTGGGGGCCCTCTCGACATGTCCTGGGGCTCCTGCAATGTAGTAGAGACTAGTGTGAACCCGTGGAAAATCCACGGCCTGCTGTGCAGAAGTCTTTGGAGACCTCTTGGGAGCCAGTGCGGCTGTGTGGGAATCTCTCGTTGGGCTGTCTTCGGGGTCTCCAGGGGCCTCCTTGGGCCGCCTCGTGGGCCGCCTCGGGCAGCGCTGGGGCCGTCTTGCTCGCGTCGGGAGCCGTGCTGGGAGCCTCTGGGGCTGTACTGGCGTCAGCGGTTGTGATGGCCTCTTCGAATTTCCTCCCGGCCGGGCGTTTGGCCTTCAAACGCCTGCTACGATTATGATTGTGTGCGGGCCCCTAGGGAAGCTTCTGAGGACCTCTTGGGTGGTTCTCGGACGACGACGACGACGACGACGACGACGACGACGACGACGACGACGACCTCGGATTTAGACCCTTCAGCGGTTGTCGTGGCCTCTTCGAATTTCCTTCCGGCCAGACGCCTGGCCTTCAAACGCCTGCTACGATTCTGATGGTGCGCGGGCCCCTAGGGAAGCTTTTGGGGACCTCTTGGGTGGTTGTCAGTACTAGACGACGACGACGACGACGACGACGACGACGACGACGACGACGACGACGACCTCGGATTAAGACCCTTCAGCGGTTGTCGTGGCCTCTTCGAAGCTTCTGAGGACCTCTTGGGTGGTTCTCGGGGCTTGTGTCGGTTCTCGTGGGAGCTTGCTGGAGGCCTCGGGAGACTCTGGGGGATACTCTAGGGCCTATCGGGAGCTCTCGGGTGGTTCTCGGACGACGACGACGACGACGACGACGACGACGACGACCTCGGATTAAGACCATTCAGCGGTTGTCGTGGCCTCTTCGAATTTCCTTCCGGCCGGACGTCTGGCCTTCAAACGCCTATTAAGATTATGATTGTGTGTGGGCCCTTAGGAAAGCTTTTGGGGACCTCTTGGGTGGTTCTCAGGGCTCGTGTCGGTTCTCGTGGGAGATTGCTGGAGGCCTCGGGAGACTCTGGGGGACACTCTAGGGGCTATCGGGGAAGCCACGTGACCTCGAGGGGAACCCCTTGGCGACGGCGGCGGCGGGCGGCGGAAGGCGACGGCGCTGCGGGCCCCTTGGGAAGCTTTTGAGGACCTCTTGGGTGGTTCTCGGGGCTCGTGTCGGTCCTCGTGGGAGCTTGCTGGAGACCTCGGGAGACTCTGGGGGACACTCTAGGGGCTATCGGGAAAGCCACGTGACCTCGAGGAGAACCCAATGGCGACGGCGGCGGCGGGCGGCGGACGGAAGCCGACAGCCGTCGAACTCCCCGTAATCGGCAGGGTGACTCGGGCCGTCTTGGCGGCGCCTCCCGTGGCCCACTTGGGGCTCTGGGGAGCCTCTTGAGGGCCCGTTTGGGGCTCTTTTGGGCCGTCTCAGGGCTCTCTGGAAGCCGTCCTGGGGCCCTCTTGGGCCGTTTTGGAAAGCTCGGGCTGTCTTGGTGCCGTCGTGGTGCCGTCTTGGGCTCTCTTGGAGGCCTCCTGTGGCCCTCTCGATGCTTTCCTGGGAACCTTTTTGTGCCCTCCGGGGTCCGTCTCGGGCTGTCCTGGGGCTCCCTGGGACTGTCTTGGGGCCCTCTTGGGCCGTCTTGGGGCTCTCTTGTGAGCCTCTGGGGCAGTGTTGGGGCGGTCTTAGAGGCTCATCCGGCCGTCTTGTACCCTGGTTTCCAAAGGGAATGGCGCGATTTGTTGGCTCGTGGGGGCCCTTTGGGGGTCCTCAGGAAACGGCTTGGGAACGTCTGGGGCCGTCCTGGAGCCGTCCGCGGGGAGTGCCGCGTCAATCTGGGGTAGTCTTAAACCGTCCGCTGCGCGCTCGGGGCCGCTTGGAAGGCTCGGCGGCGAGCCCGCTGGGAGCGGCCCAGAGGGGGCTGGTTCGCTGCCGCTGCTAGCCAATCCGGGGAGCCGTGAACGCTGCATTGTAGGATAGATAACGTTGGGCTCCAGCTTCGCCTTCCACATCTCGCTCAGCAGCGCAAGCGCCCACTGCCACTGCTTGCCCTTCTCACACGCGCTGATCCCAGCGCTGTAGCTGATGACGTCGGGCTCCAGCTTCGCCTCCCGCATCTCGCTGAACAGCGCGAGCGCCCAGCGCCAATGCTCACCGTTCTTGCACGCGCTGATCCCAGCGTTGTAATTGACTATGAAGCGTGAACCCGTGGATCCAACCCGTGGCGTGCTGAACCTGGGACTCACCTACCGTGGGTGAATAGCTCGTCGAAGTTGAACAGCTCGTGCGTCCCTGGGGCCGTGTCGGGGGCATGTTGAGCCCTCCTGCGAGCCTGTCTGGAGCGTCTTGAAAGCCTCTTCTGGGGGACAGCCCGGGAACCTTCTTGTGCGTGCGTGCTGTGAGGTTGCTGTCAGAAGGTCCCCCCTGTAACCCCTGAGGTCGGCTGCAGGGTTTGCTGCAGGCTCTGGGAGCCAGGGCTGGAGGCTGGCTTCGAATATTCTGGGAGGGTCTGCGCCATCTCGGAGTGGTCCAGGGAGGGATCTCGTGACCTTGGGGCTGTGTCGGTGGCCACCGAAGGTTCTACTCGGCTGTATGGAGGGAGCGAAATGGTGGTCCCCGCAGTGCCTGCAGGTCTCCACCCCTCCTGCCACCCCCAATCGGCCGTAGAAGGGGAACGACCGAAGTGGCTGCAGGTCCCCCCCTGCAGGCGGAGTGGAGGCCCCAGAGCAGCCGGCACCTCGATGAGGGAAAGGGGAAGAGGTCAGAGGAGAAGGTCCCGACTGTCACCCCTAGTCGCCAGCATGTGGGGAGGTCTTGAGGGCGACTCTGGGCCATCTCGGAGTGGCCCTGGGATCGCTCTTGGGAGCCCCGTAGGAACCTTGGGAGTCTCTTCCTGGGACCGCTCTTAAGAGCTCCGTGGGAACTGTCGGAGTCTCTTGGCAAGCGTCGGAGTCTTGCGGGCGACTCTGGGGCATCTCGGAGTGGCCCTGGAACCGCTCTCGAGAGCTCTCTGGGAAACTATCGGAGTCTATGGGAGGCTCTGGGGCATCTCGGAGTGGTCTGGGGCCTGCCTTGGGGGTCTTGGGCTTTCTTGAAGGCGTTTGGTGTTCGAGAGACGGCGAAAGGGCGCCGTGGCTCGAGGCACTCTCCTTGAGAGCTCCTTTGGAACCATCGGGGTCTCTTGGGAGACCTTTGGGCATGCAGGAGTGGTCCTTGGATGGCTCTTGGCCCATTGGAGGCTGCGAGGAGGGCGTCGTCTGGGCTCCCTTCGGCCCCTCTTCGAGCCCTCGTGCTGGTCTCTCTGGAGCCCCCAGGGGCCCTCTTGATCCATTTCGGGGCTTTCTTGGGCCGTGTCTGGGGCCTCTTGGGCCGTCCTGGGGCCATGTTGGGGGTCTCGGGCCGTCTTGGAGCTCGCTTTGATGCCTGTTGGGCAGCTCCTAGGGCCCTCTGGGGGCCGTCTTGGGGGCCACAAGGGGCTCTATGAGGCTGTCTTGGGCTTCTCCTGGGCAACCTTCGGGCCCTTTGGGGCCGTCTTGGGGCACTAGGCGGGGCCTCCTGGACCGTCTTGGGGCGATCTGGGATGACCCTGGATCCGTCTGACGTCGTTCTTGGCCCGAAATGGCGAAAAAATTGAATACTCTCCAAAGCCAACGGGAAACCTGTGATTTTGGCCTCGGGGGACCATCACCGGGGTCTGGTTCAACCGTTCTCCGAGGCACCTGGCCCGTCGTCGGGCCGTCTTGGGCTGTCATGGGGCTCCGTTCGGATCCCCTTGGACCGTCCTCGCGCGCTCCGGAGCGTCTCAGAGCTATCTTGGGGCTGTCAGAGGCCGTCTTGGGGCCACCGAGGAGCTCTCTGGAGCCGTCTGAGTGCGCTGGGCCGCTTCGGGCGCTCGGGGGCAGCTCTTTCACTGCAACCCCTTTTCGCGCGCGGAATGCCCCGTATTGTAGTATAGATGACGTTGGGCTCCAGCTTCGCCTCCCGCATCTCGCTCAGCAGCGCCAGTGCCCGCTGCCACTGCTCGCCCTTCTCGCACGCGCTGATTCCAGCACTGTAGCTGACTAGGGCAGACCTGCGGACTCCGTCCACGACATCAGCTCGACGTGGCGAGGGGTCTCTGGCCACGATGGCCAGTTGAAGGCGCTCTCCACACCTTCCAGGACCTCCTGCTCTCCTGTGTTCCTCAGCTGCTGCTGCTGCTCGGAGGTCATGCTGCTTCCTCCCCCTCCTCCTCCTCCTCCGCCTCCTCCTCCTCCTCCTCTTCCACCTTCTTCTCCTTTCGCTGGATTCTCCATGCCCTCGGTCGGCAATCGTCGATCCTACGACGACTCTCCCCAACAGAGAAACATCGAAGGCCCTCGGAGCGTCCAACATTGTTCTTTTGTGCCTTCGATATGCCGGTCGCCTCTCGTCCGCTCCCCCCCTCCTGGAAGCAATTCTGAGGCCACTTAGGGCTTCGTGGGGGCCGTTTGGGGATCTCTTGGGGCGTTTTTGCCTGCGATATGCCTGTCGCCTCTCGTCCGCTCCCCCGCTCCTGGAGGGAATTCTGAAGCCACTGAAGGCTTCGTGGGGGCCGTTTCGGAGCCTCTTCGGCCTTCTTTTGGGCCTCCCGGGGGGGCTCTTAGGGCCCTCTCGGGCCGTCTTGGGTGCCTCTTGGGCCGTCTTGGGGCCGTCTGAGGCCCGCCTCGGCGCCTCTTGGGCTGTCTTGGGCCGTCTTGGGCCGCTCCTGGGGCCGTCTTGGGTGCCTCTTGGGCCGTCTTGGGCGCCTCCTGGGCCGTCCTGGGGCCGTCCTGGGGCGTCTTGGGACCGTCTTGGGGCCCTCCTGGCCCGTCTTGGGGCTCTCTTAGGGTCCTCTTCGGCCGTCTTGGAGCGGTCGGGGGGACTTCTTGGGCCGTCTTGGAGCGTCGGGAAGCCGAAGAGGCGAGGAGGCCGAAAACATCGAAAAACACACTAGAAATCGACGATTTCTGTCGCTCGGGGCCCTCTTGGGAGGCCTCTTGGGAGGCCTCTTCGGGCGTCTTGGACGCCTCTTGGGCCGTCTGGGGCGAATCTCGGGCGTCTTGGGCCCATCTTTAAGCGTGCTGGGGCTCTCCGGGGCCGTCTTGGGGGCCCTCTCGACATGTCCTGGAGCCTGCTTGGGCGGCCTGGGGCGGCCCGGGGCCAGCCCGGGGCGGTTTCGGTGCATTGGGGCCTGCGCCCTTCTGGCACGCACTGGGCCCTGCAATGTAGTAGAGACTAGGGCTGACCCGTGGACTCCGTCCACGACATCTTTCTGGAATGGTTCTCGGAGGAACGGCGCAGATTGCACCGAAAATCTACAAACACGGCGGCGGCTCGGGCGGCGGCAGCGAGACCGCGCCTTCGTGTCCGAGCTCTTGCAGCGCTCCAGCAGCTTGGCCCAGCGCACTGCTCGTTCACCCCCCTCCTATTGAGGACAGTTTCGAAGTCTCTCGGGGATGTGCGTCGAAGTCGAAGCCCATCTGAGGCGTCTCAGGAGCGCCCGGGGAAGGGCTCGGGAGGCCATCGGGGAAAGCCACCGAAAGCGCCGGGGAGGCTCGCAAGGATCTACAGGGAGGGCCCAAGAGAGCTTCAAGAAAATTTGAAATTCAGTGAAATCTTTAGAGAAACCGCTGTTGGGTCGGCCATCACCTCCGGGCACGCCTTGATGGTGCGATCCAGTCGCATCACCGCCAACGGGAGGGTTTGTTCGCCATGTCCCATTCTGTTCGCCCAGAGGGTCTGTGGAGGCCTTCGGGCGAACAGAACGGGACAGGGCAAGGAGTGGGGAAGACTTGTCCGAATCTCCTGGGCCCCCCAGGTGCTCGTCCGAAGAATGCGGAGAGGTCCCTGGGTCATATCAATTGGCTGCTGTCCCAGGGGTCCGGTCTGGTTGGCCCGAGGAGTTTGCCAAGGCCCCTGGGGGAACAGAATGGCACAGCATATCGGGCAAAGGGGGACGGTAGCTGGCCTGTCAGACCTGGCGTTCGTCTTCTGCCCAAGCGGCGCGGGGCGGGGCCCACGGGCCCCAGGGTTGGCGACCCGCTGTGTTTCCTCTTGTTCGCCCACAGGGTTGGAGGAGGCCTCCAGGCGAACATAATGGGGCAGGACAATGAATGTGGGAGACTTGTCGCAAGCTCCCAGCCCCCCCGAGTGTTCGCCCGAAGGGTGTGGGGCCGCGTTGGCTCCCTCACAGGGCCGTCTTGGAGCCGTCTAGGCCCGTCTTGAGGGCGCCGTTTGCCGTGATGGGGCCGTCTTGGTTCGTCGTGGGCCCCTCAGGGGCGCGTCCGTAGGCCGTCCTGGGCCCATCGGGGTCCTTCTTGGCACTATCGTGGGGCTGTCTTGGAGCCGTCTGGGACCGTGAGGGGGCCGTCTTGGAGTCGTCTTGGGCCCCTCCTGTGCGCCTCCTTGGGCCAACCCGGGCCCAGCAGGGGCCGTGTTGGCACCCTCTTGGGGCTGTCTTGGAGCCGTCTTGAGCCGTCGCAGCGCGCCTTGGGTTGTGCTGGGTCCGTCTTGGCCCGTCTTGGGGCCTTCCTGGGCGTTTCCTCGGACCCTGCTGGGACTCTCTGGGGCCTCTTGGTGCATCGGACCGCCGAAATGGCGGGAAACGCAAAAAGGGTGTAACAGTGAACAATGGAAGATGAACGATTTTTGCGAGCTGGGGCTCTTTTGCCATCTTGGCCAGTCTTCAAGCCCCGACCGGGCGCGTCCTTGGGCCGTCCTGGGCCCGCCCTCCTGGGACCGTCTTGGAATCGTCTTGGGCCGTCTTGAGCGCGCCTTGGGCCGTCCCGGGCCCGTCTGGGGCCGTGTTGGCACCCTCGCGGCGAGGAAGCTCGGAGGCGGGCTCGAGGCCTCTGTGGGGCCATTTTGGAGGCTGTTGGGGCCTGTGTTGGGGCCTCGTTTGGGCTCCTTGGGAGCCTCCTGGGGCCTCTTCGGGGGATTCTTGGCGGCCCCTTGGGGGCCTGTTTGGGCCTCCTGGCGCCCTCTTGGGGCGGAAGGCTTGGATTTTCGGTCCGTGGTCCCCCTCTTGGCCCCCTCTTGGGCCTGTCTTCGGGCCGTCGTGGGCCGTCTTGAGCGTCTCTTGGGTCGTCTTGGGACCCTCTTGGGCTGTCTTGGGGCGCTCTTGGAGGCCTCTGGGGCTGTTCTGGGGCGCTCTTGGAGGCCTCTTGGGCCGTCTTCGAGCGTCGGAAAACGGAAAAGGCGAGAAGGCCAACATTCTTCCAAAACCGTCGTAAAGTGAATGATTTTGGCCGCTCGGGGCCCTCGGGGAATACGCTTGCAGGCCTCTTGTGCCGTCTGGGCGGCCTCTTGGAGCGCTCTTTGGGCGTCTCGGGGGCTCCTTGAGCTGTCTTGGGGGCCTCTTGGGGCCTCCAAAGCCTCTCCGGAGCCGCCCGGGGCGCCTTTACACCGCGCCGCCCGGGGCCGGGGCGTCGGAGGAGCCCCCCGACCCCCGCCCCTCTCAGACGCGCGTATGCCTGCAATGTAGTAGAGACTAGGGCGAACCCGTGGACTTCGCCCACG